TCCATAGGTCCTCATATGGCTTGTTAACTGAGGGGGGTTACAGAGTATTTGTTAAATATAGCAAACAAAATATATATTGTGTGTTTGATTGGTCCAGACGCTGCAGTTAAAATATGCGAGGAGTTTCAGTCAGCCGTGTACTAAAATTTGGTTAACCTGACGTATAGATTACACCACTGGAGCTGAGCTTACGCAAAACCCACTCGTCCTGTAGTTTCTTCTGATTTACTGATCACAGCCCTGAACCAGCTGTGGTAATTGCAGGAGCTATATTGGGCTGGATGGCACCCGTCATATATCTGTAATACGAGGCTGCGTGTCGCACGAAGCGTTTTGAAGAGAAATTACTGCTAGAATGAGTCGCACAAAATTACAAGAGTTCTCATTCTAAAACAGGAAGAGCTGATTACAGGAAGACTTGATTACAGAAATTATGAAAATGTGCCTCGCTCTCATCCAGATGTCTGTGTTTAATGCCTCATGCCTCATCTTTTTCAGGGCGAGGATGGTGTGCCAGGAGAGGATGGTCGAAAGGTAATAAAACACCTATTGGTGAAAACTTGTGTATGATTACATTGTAATTTTTGATAATTAGCCTCTGATCGAATATGGTTATGCCTTCTTTGCAGGGAGATAAAGGAGAGCCTGGGCCCACTGGAAGAGATGTGAGTCTCTTTGTTTTTATCTTCCTGATCATCCTGTTCTCACTCTCTTCCTGCCTTTCACAACACAAGACAAGTCCATCACAGCTTATCATACTCCGCACTACATAACACTTTCAAAATGTACATTTTAAGGCTTCTCTGACAGCTATGTTACGGAAAATGTTATTTTTTACCATTTTGTGAATTTCATTCACTACATGGCATCAAAGGTAAGCATGTAACTTGTAAAGGCTGTTCTTGTTTGTAAGTACCGGCTGTTTCATTTTGTACTCCTTGTCTGTACCTGCTGTTTTCTTTGCGATTTGTGGCCACATTTGACTCAGTGTACTCAGATTTAGTTGTTTTCTGTGATTCAGTCCATGTCATTATATCTCTTTGCCCTTTTTACTCGCTTTTTGCTATTTGTCTGTCTCGCACAGCTAATTTTTCCATCAGGACAAATCAGATTTTTTGTTAAATGGATGTTTTCAATCATAGAAACACACACTCACCCACATTTTAAATGCATGGATGCTCTTCTTCCTGTGCTTGATGCTGAGTGCAGTCAGTAATTATGAGTCAGCAGCCTTATAGGAGAAACTCTTCATTGATGAGTTTATTTGATGTGCAAATGTATGCCCATTAATTAAGAAATGGTTATGGTTATTTCTCTCATCTCCCTCTCTCTCTGTTTATCTCTCCTCAGGGTCGAGATGGGTTGAAAGGTGATCAGGGCATTGCAGGACTTATTGGCCCTCAAGGTCCCATTGCACCCCCTGGAGTTCCTGGAAATGTCGGACCACCAGGACCTATGCGTTTGTGTTTGTGCATATGTTTGATTTTAAATAGACTACTCTGCTACTCTATTAATCGCATGAGAATTCTGGAGGATGCTTAATTTATGCAAAGAGCTGTATTTCTCAATCTTTCTGTTTTTTTTTTCAGGTGGTGTATGTTAAAGGGGAGCCAGCAACACCTATTCCAGGTCCCCAGGGCCCTCCAGGAGCCCATGTAAGTAACATTGACAACTGACTTCTACTGCTGTAGAGCCAGTAGTGGGATGAGACCATGTATTCTTAGTTTTTTTGAAAAAAGCACCACTTACATTTTCTTCTGAAATTGGGAAAATCTTGTTTAGTTATATAATAAAGCCTAAATACATATATTTAATGTATACACATATATACACTGTTTGAATGAAATACAGACAAAATGAGAGCAGCTATGTATTGTATCTTTCATATGTATTACTTTTTATCAATCAGGGAATACTTGGAGTCCCAGGAGCTGCTGGACCAAGAGTAAGTTTGTCTCTGTGTGTGTGCGCAAGTAAATATGTTGTGTTTTTTTTAGATATCATGACGCATGATGTTGTCATAATGTGACCTTTGTAGGGGGAGAGAGGTCTGCCAGGCTTGAAAGGAGATGCGGTGAGTGTATTTTTACGAATGTGTCTTTTAGTGGTCACTGCTCTCAGAGCTGACACAAGGCAGTTCTCAGCATACCTGACTGTAATAATTCAACTCTTTTGATTGACAGGGAGATCCAGGAGAGGATGGCAAACCAGGAACTGTAGTGGTGAGGAAAACGCTCATGCACACAAAGTCACACATGCATGGCTGGCAAGATGATTAATGTTGTTTTCCCCCTGTTTTGTCATAGGATGTGAAGAGAGCTTTGTCAGAATTTGGCATTGAGGTACTGAGAAATTTATCAACAAGATTGACAGAGTTTGTATGTAGATGTACATGTCACCCTCTTTCCTATTCTTTGCAGGTCAGAGAACTGAAACTATTAGTTGATGACAGAAGCAATCTGGTATCAAAGTTGAGTGAATTGACAGAAGGAAAGAGGGGTGAAAAAGGAGATGTCGGACCTAGAGGCCCTCCAAGAGCAGATGTGAGTTAATATCGTGCATATGTGAGACAGAGTGGTGTCTGGTAGTTGAATAGTTGGATGAGTAGTGTGTCACAATAGCTTTTGCAATGAAGATCATGCAAAAACTCATTGGGTGCTGACCATGGTGCTGAAACGTATTTCTGGTTAGAAAACATCCAGCAACTCTCTGTATTTCTTCATGGTCTCATCCTCTCCTCTTCTTCCTTTTTTAAACCTAGTTCTCTCTTCCTTGCATACTGGCTTTCAGGGTGCGCGAGGTCTTCCAGGTGAACGAGATGTGAAAGTAGAGCAGGGTGAGAAAGGGCCTCCTGGCCCACAGGGTCCTCCAGGCAGGGCAATTGGAGAAAGAGGCCCAGAAGGTCCACCAGGACAGGCAGGTGAACCCGGAAAGCCAGGAATACCAGGAGTACCAGGACGAGCTGGTGAACTTGGAGAAGCTGGCAGACCTGGGGACAAGGTAAAGAGAAGAGCATTGGTATTTTATTACTATAGCTGTTTTACATCTTTTATGAGATACAGAGCTGATCAAAGAAAACACTTGAGATAAAGTTATTGTAGAAATTAGATTAAAATTGGTCTTTGTTGTAGGGGGAGAAGGGGCAGAAAGGAGACAGAGGGCCATCTTGTAAGTACCATTACTATAATTCATGCATGTTCATGCAAGGTCTAAAATGAACTTTGCCACACTTGCTAATGGCAGTTGAATTAAAAAAATGCACCAGCAAAAATAAATAAATTATGTATTTATTTGCCGGTGCATTTTCTTTCATAACATATATTTTACATGTATGAATTGTAATTTCCGAACAGAAACTTTTGCTCGCATTTGGTGCATGGTGTCTGTTCAAACCCTACTTTCTTGTTTTCATATGGAATAAATCTTTTTTTAGGGTCCGGCTGGATTGCCTGGCCTAGGGGTGCCTCCAGTACCAAAGGTAAAACAAAATGAAGCTCACATTTGTAGTACACAAGTGAAAGTTGAGAAATGAATGTTGTCAATTTTGTGTGTACTAACATATTGAGCGTGTGTGTGTGTTTTTTTTTCTAAGGGGGATTCTGTCTCCGCTCAGAGTGGTTTGCCTGGTCCAAGGGGTCTTCCAGGCCCTCAAGGTATCAGAGGAGAGCCTGGTCCAGTAGGACCTCCTGGACCTACAGGAGAGAGGGTGAGGGTGGAGTTTCTGAAAAATGTATGTGTGGCAGCATGCTACTTTATAGGTTTGTGACCTTAGTTGACAATCTGATCTGTGATTTGTCCCTCTCTCAGGGCTACACAGGTCCTCGTGGGGAAAAGGGAGAAAAAGGAGCCAGTGGAGAAAGTGGAAACGATGGCTCACCAGTGAGTATACTCTTTTATTGGCCTTAACTGACAACAGAGCTTAGTCTCTATTCATTTAATTTTTACAATAAAACTATGGTACTTTTATCTTAGGGAAGTCCAGGAGAGCCAGGAAAACCAGGGGCGGATGGGAAGCCGGTGAGAAACAAATTCCAGTGGCTGTTTTGCCAGTTTATTATTAAAATGAATGAAACTAATTAATGTTGATGTTTTTGTTTGATGTGTGCTAAAGCAAGAATTTTAGTTAGTTTTGCTCATACGTATTAGATAGACACAGTAAGTATTAAACTTTGGTGTGTAACTTATCCCACACCATTTGTAGATAGTGTGCCTTGTTGTGGAGAATTGTGCTGTTACTTTTTCAAGTGATGTCAGTTTTTGTCTGGTGGACGATAAAACGGACAAACACAAACTGAATATGTAACTGATACTGAGGGACCTGAGACTTATCTGTGAACCAGAATATCATAGGGACTTTGTAAACACCCTAACAACCACCCAAGATGCCATACCAACTGCATAGCAATGTCCTTAGCACAGGCAAGCATCACCTTCCAATGATGCCTTATGCATTCCTATAATATAACAGTCATGCACATTGGTCTCCTGTAATTATGACAAACTACGGTAAGATTATCAGAGAACGGTGAGTCCCACAAATCTCTTGCTCTCATTTGAGTCTGCTAATGTTTTGTGAGTTCTGCAGAACTTTTAAGACCAGATTAAAGTTTAAGAACAGATTGCCTTTCATCACTTACTGTGATAGATATGTTAATTATATAGGATTTTAGTAGACATTCAGTATGAAAACATGCTGTCACTCATGAAATGGAGATAAAAAGAGAGTTTAGCATTAGTGGGGAAGAGGAGAGTTTTGACTCTCACTCACACATTTATTTATTCTCCTCTGGAGCAGGGTTTGAAGGGACCGGCCGGTCCGCCAGGCCTACCTGTGAGTAACAGCATTCCAACACAGCAGCCTCTCTTGGGCTTGCCAATGTAGGAAAGCCTGGGGATTTGATGCGAGTACTAGGCCTTGCTGTGAGCACTAGCTGACTTCCTTTACCTGAGGCTCCATAGATAAACATCAAAGAAGTAACAAATGCAGCACCGCTTCTATCCGCTAACCTCTCTGTCTCCTCTTTTCCCCCTCACTCCTTTTTGTAATCCCGAAACCTTCAACTTCTAATTCCACTCCACTTGAAATTTGGACCATCACACCTCTGCTGTCTCTACACTTCCTGTCCCTCCATCCCTTCCTTCCTCTTTCTAGGGCTTGCCTGGGTTCCCAGGGGTGCTGGGCAGACCGGTAGGTTTTCTTTGGCTGAGATTTTAGGCTGCTTTGCTAATATTGGAACGGGGGCCGTCCTTGTCTCTGTAGTTTGTTTGTATTTGTGCATTTGTGTATGTCTGTTAGATACTTGAGTGCGCTTGGAAGTGTATATATTATGTTTTATGTCTCTGTGATGTCTCTGTGAGCAATGTGAATATTTAATTTTATACACTACCGTTCAAATGTTTGGGGTCTAAGTTTTTTTAAAAATTTTGGAAAGAAATAATTCTTTTATTTAGCAAGGATAAGTTGTTCAAAAATGACAATAAATAAATTTAATATATATTGCAAAATTGTTGTATTCAAATAAATGCTGTTCTTTTTAACTTTATATTCATCAGAGAATTTTCACAAATATATTAAGCAGCACAACAACAAAAACAAAAGTTTCTAACAATGATAATAATAAGAAATGTTTCTTGAGCACCAAATAAGCATATTAGAATGATTTCTGAAGGATCATGTGACACAGAACTGGAAAATTCAGGTTTGCCATCCCATGAATAAATTACATTTTCAAATATAGTAAAATAGAAAACTATTTAAAATATTTTAAATTGTAATAATATGCACAATATTACTGTATTTTTGATCAAATTAATGCAGCCTTGGTGAGCATAATAGACTAAAAAATATTTTACAAATCTTACCAACCCCAAACTTTGGAACAGTTGTGTATGTGCCTAATGTTTGTATAGTCTTTGTCAAAAGTACAGTATACATTATGTCTGTCCATTCAGAGCTTGTGTATGCTGTTTATATGTGCATGTGTGTATCTGTGTGCTTTATATTTGTATCAGCCTGCTATTCATATCAAATGTGTATTTTGCACAGGGGAATCCAGGAGAACCAGGAATAAGAGGACCAACTGTACGTATATTCAGTTTAATGTACATACTCAAATTAAAAATATTTTTTTTAACCTTTGGTTTGATATTTCAGGGACCAATGGGTGGAAATGGACCCCTAGGGGCTCCTGGTGTGAAGGTTAATGCTGCATTTTATGACATGGACCATATAATTTTATTTGTTAGCAGTCATTTTAAATCTACAATTACAGCATGAACCATGTTAGTTATTTTGTCCCTATTTGTGTCATGATTTCCTAAGCTTTGGTATTGCAGATACAAATAACAAATCAAATGTGTGTATATGTACACATGTTTGTGTGTCATGTTTAGGGCGACCAAGGTGAACCAGGCATTGGAGTTCAAGTAAGTTTTCCAGCTGAGTAACGATGAACACTTTCCTTTATGCGATTTGATACACAGCAATGTGTTTTTGGAGTTACATAACTAACCCACCAGAGTTTACTCACTCTTCAATCTTTTCTCTTCATTCTTCAAGGGTCCTCCTGGACCTCAGGGCAACAGAGGGTTACCTGGACCTCTAGGACTCCAGGAGCAATAGTAAGATAAAAACACAATATTGGAGTCATTTCAACAGCTCAGAGGAGTTTGAACTCTCCACAGAGGTCATTAGACAATCTCTGCAGCTTCAGCTTAGAGCCTCTTCACATGCTCTGTTTCTCTGTGCCTTATTTATCCTTGACTCTCATAGTGTTCAGTTTGCCCTTGCATTTTAGAAAGCAACATGTTTTTCCTCCTTGCATAGGCCTATTTCAGCACTTAAATATCAGTGTACTGTTCAATTCAATAAATCCTGTGAGTTTTACATATGCATCTTGTTCTTATAGATAAGGGTGATTTATATTTATCTGAATAGGGATGAATGCAGCACTTTGTAATGTTTACAGGGACCACAAGGATCTCCAGGGCTTCCAGGACAAGTGGTGAGTAAATAAACATACCAAACCAAAATAAACTATTACAGAGGGTAACAAAGTTCGTAGTCACGGGAAGAAGGAGACGAGAACCGGCGAACACTTAAACAAAACTTTAATAATAAAATAAACAAACACAAAATGAAAGTAAAGCGGCAGCCCCTCACAGACGACTGCCGCACACAAAATAAAGTCCAGGCCTGGTCCGCTCTCGTCCAACACTGTCGTCACTCCTCCTTTTATCCTTCCGGAGCTCCTCCGTGGGACTCGAGACCGGTGAGTGGCGCAGGTGTCATGTATTAGCATTTACTCCACCGGCCTCGCTCCATTCCCACGGCTCTCGGCCCCGCCCCTCTCGTCACACAGAGCATTTCAAATTACGAAAAATCCTCTATTACAATTTTCCCTCTTCAACTAATTGGTCAAATGGCGGAGGTGAGGCAATGCATGGTTGAGTGTTCAATCAACAAAAAACAAAAAGTATCAGCTGTGAGAGAGTACTTGGCTTTGGATTTGAAAAGCAATATAGCTGTTTCACAGTGCAGTTAGAACTTTTTCTATGAGGTGTGAAAAAGATTGAAACTCAACCACAATTCACTTTCTTGGATGGACACGCTTGGTCTCGGTTGGGTGTTTGGTGCTGTTTCAGGCACTATCCAATTATGATATCGTGATACATGTATCGCATGGATGTGTATGCATATTTTGAGATACTTTGCAATAGACCTACTGTAGTTTATATGAAGTGACTGAGAACACTTTATTCTCCTGTTCTCTTGCTAACATGCATATGTTTAATAAGCTATATGAAGGCATTCCATAGACTTCTATTGTTTTATATACAGCTAAGTATAAATACAAAAATCGAAACCCACATTTTCTGCATTTTTAGAATTAAAGAAAAGAATATATACATATGTGTGTATGCTGTTTATACATTATACTTTAAAGCATGCATAAGCCTACTTAAGTATATTTTTATTGTAAAATTCATTACTTGATTCATTTTCAAAATATTTTTGTATTATTTAATTAGCAATCTAGTCAAAAATGACAGCCTAATGAAGATTAGCTTGCAAATATCATTGCCCCACAACAGTCAATATTCTAGTGCCAAAAATAGTATTTTATGTTTATGTGATGTATTAAGTTGCACTAAACTTTCGAATTCTCTCATTTATTTTTTTCAGTATAGAATAAATGTTCACACACTATATCAATAGATTTTATGTTCTTAAAATGACGTTTTTATCAAAATATTGATTTTTTTTTACTCTGTTTTTGTTCAATATTTTTTATAAACTGAACATAACACTTACATAATGTATAATAAGCTAACCCTGACAGCTGTTTCTAGCAACAAATATTAACATTAGTATATGATTCAAACAATAAGGGAAAAAGTAGAGGGAAAAAAATAAGGAATTAGAATACTTAGCTAAGTAAGGAGTAAGTAAGTATTCTGCTACTTTATCTGCAGGATTCATCTATTACCATACACAGAAATGTATTTTATTTGTTTCTTTAGCATGGTGTTCCAGGGAAAGATGGCCTGCCAGGGTTACCTGGGAAGCAGGTGAGTGATCAGATGCCCTTGACATTTATGAAGACATATATGCGTTAATTTCATGATCTTCTGCACCTTTTTTCATGTTCTCTATGCTTCTTTCTTTTCCTCCCCACTTAACCGCTCTCTCTCTGTCACTTTCTTTTAGGGTATTGCCAGACCCATTAGTCCCCCAGGACTTAAAGGAGAGCAAGGAGACAGCGGTCCACCAGGAAAGGTGCATCCATATGTGCATCTGCATGTGTGGATTTGCACGTAATGTGTAGTTTGATTGACACTATGCTTTTAATTCCCAACGTGCTCAATTTATCTCTCTCCTTTTATTTCCACTGTGTTCTGCAGTCTGTCACCGGACCCCCTGGAATGAAGGGTGAGATGGTGAGTTGTTGCCATGGTTACATCATAGCGAACACTGTGTGAAGATCAACGTGTCTCACCTGCATGACAGATAATCTCATTTGAAGCAAACGTAATGTTAGAGCGCCATGTACGTGAGCTCTTCAATAGATCTTCTCTGTGTTATCATACTCAAATGCCAACTGAGGAGCAGCACAAAGTAGTAAAGTAAAAGACTTTAATCTAATATTTTATGACTGCTATGGATAAAAAGCTTTCTTTGATCCTCAGGTATGTTTTTACATACAAAGTTTAGACATTTTTTGACAGTCTCTATTTACTTTCCATCTAGTTAACTTCTTGGTTATTGTGTTTGCTACCCGAATTGTTTGCCAACACAAGGAGGTTTAATGTGTTTCATAACACAAAACATGTAAATTATGCTCATTTCCACAAGGTACATGCAATGATACAAGATTTTTTTTTACAAATCCACCTACTGTACAACAGTAGGCCCACCTCAAATGCTTTATTTAGACAATATTAAAAATCAAATAACACACATTCGTGTTTAGAATAATTAATAACTCTTTAACAAAAATTCAAGCTGCCTGTTTCTGCTTTTGAGTGCCTTGTTTTATAGACTTCTAATTGCATTACTATAAATGCGATTTTTATTTATTGTCTGTGATAACTGACAACATGCCACTAAGCTTTAACAATCATTTAATGTTCCTTTGTGTTTCTGATTAATAGATTTAGCTGTATGTAGCTGTACTTTAAACCTTAAAAAACTGAAACAGTGAGTAAACATTATGTGCAAACTTTACTTTACCTCTTTTTCAGCATTCTGCCAGCTCTCTGACACAAATCCTGTTTAATTGTGCCTTATTGTGTGTGAGTTTATTTAGATATTGGCACTGATGTGCTCCATATATATATTTACCACATTTATCGACAAACTTATGACATGACAGGACAGGGACAGGGAAGTAAACTATTGTGGCCCATTGCACATTAAATGCCACAGGCAAAATCCATCACCTGCTTTCACTGTACAGCTGAATACTTCCAGGAGTAACTAATCTGTCAAGAGATGCCATCCACAGTTTCACCTATGATGGAAACTTTATAATATCTGAAAAAAATTTACAGCATGTTCTCAGAAATGTGCAGTATTTCCTGAAAAAACATCAACGGAATAAACAGAACTGAAGCACACCATTTGGTGCAGTACCAATTCTCTTGAGGGAAATGGATGGCTTATCTGCACTGCGCCATGACATAGATTGCAGATAATGGGCCATATGTTTGTTATTTCTGACATGAATATACCACATTATTAACTCATATATTGGCTGATTGTTTAAGGGTCCTCCTGGTCTGACATTGCCAGGTACAGTTGGAGAAAGCGGCCTTCCTGGATTACCGGTGAGTTTCACTCATTCTGGTTACTTATTGGAGCTTCTGTCTAATACATTCCAATTAATTTATTTTATATGTGTATATAGGTGTATATATGTATTATATAGGTTTTTATGTGTTGTTCTGGATATTTATTTATGCCTCATTATTTGTTCCCACAGTTTGCCGTCATATTCTGTCGTCAGCCATCCTTCATCATTAATGTCATTTGTATAAGTAATTCTGAATTCTCATTTCATACTCCGTATTGATTTTGTTTGTGTGCCTGTTTTGTGTTTTAGGGTCCAAAAGGAGACAAAGGGCCAGCGGGGATCAAAGGAGAAAGAGTGAGTAGCTTTACTATGAAAAGAGTGTCCACTAACAAGGCAATGTACAATGTGCAGAAATAGAATTTAAAGTGGTATTTACTCACAGGGTGCTGCGGGAGATCCTGGTGAGAATGTGAGTACCTGCAGTCACTTCAGAGGCGGAACTGCCAGCAACCATCATCCATTTCATCTCCACTATAATACATGCTTCATTTAAAGACTTTTTCACATTCATTGTTCAGGGAATGAGAGGACCATCTGGGCCCAAAGGAGTCAAAGGAGAGGCAGGGGTGGGAATGCCTGGGCCTCCAGGACAATTTGGACCCATCGGCTTAAAGGTCATTGATTCATTTTATTTTAGCGTTAAAATAAAATTTAACTGTTGCTAACAGACCTCTAACCCTAAGTGTAAACTTTGGCACATAAAGGCCCAGGTATACTTCACTTTCCGCATTTCGTGCACAGCCGAGTCCGCACAGCTTTCAAAGTATACTCAACCGCGGATGAACGTGGATGGACAAGCTCGACACATGTGCAGTACCACCTACTTGACTCGTTCTGTCTCAACATTTACCTTGTGCCTGCGCTGTTGTACGCGGACCATCCGCATAGTCACAAAAATTGGACTGCACACGGATGGTGTGTGCAGACGTCCGCAGACACTTCTGATGACAAAAATCATGTCACAAGGACAGTGCACAGACCATTGCAGAACGCGGATGGCCGAAGTATACTTTGGGCTTAACTTATCCCACATCGTTTCTGTAAAAAACATGAATGATACCTCAAATAGACCACATAGCAATGCCCTACCAGCCGCATAATCAACCACAGAAAATGTAAAAATCTAGTGTGAATATTAAATAAAAAATGTTTAATCTGTTGTAGGGTGACTCTGGCTTACTAGGTCCTCCGGGCCCTCATGGACCACGTGGATTGTATGGCACGCCAGGACTGGCAGGGCAGAGAGGTGAAGCAGGTCAGCCAGGACCCCCTGGACCACCAGGAGAGAGGGTTAGTAGAGTCGCCGCACATAGAGAAACAAATGTACACTAAAAACAACACTTATTTAGAATTACTATCATTACATAAAGAAATAGGTTAAATATCATCATAGACAAAAACATTTACTGAATTCGGCTACATCCAATGATCGCAATTCCTCTTAGTGCTTGTAAGGGTCTACAAGGATTTATTGGCAAAGCCGGAAACCCAGGAACACCAGGAGCTGCTGGGCCCCCAGGACCCCCTGTAAGTCACAGACATGTTAAAATCAAATAATTGCGTATAAGCATTTGCATTAAGGTTCTTAGAGCAAGTAAAATTGTGTGTGTGTGTGTGTGTATAACCCTCAGTGGTATTCATTGATGTCTTTATCTTCATATTAGGGTACTGCGGGCCTTCCAGGACTTAAGGGCGATAAGGTAAGTGATGTGTTGCTTGCAGGGCTTACAATTTTTAGGAGCACTCCTAATTTAAAAAATTTAAGAGCACAGTCAAAAATTTAGGAACAGTTGAAGTCATGCGCAAGTAAGCATGAGAGAATGGAGCTTTTATGACAGAAATCAGGAACATTGTGTGAGTCATGTCAAATAAGTTTACCTTTTGATAAACCAAATACAATTGTAAAATATGTAAAATACAGCTGCTAAAAATAAATAAATAACAGTTTAATTTACAACAATATAATTACAATACTAATATTTATGGCTGTCTTAATTTATTTGCATTCAATCTTTAAAGCATAGAGCTTTAATTTTTGTGGAAAACCCCACGGAGACCTTAAGCTTTACTCTGAAGCACGCAGCGTGTTAGACTATAAATGTACATAATTCAGTCGTAGTCTTTGCAGTTTTTACTGGCATTTGGCACCTACTGAGTGTTAATTTATTCATAAGCTTCAATCCGCTCAGTTGCACCAGTGCATCTAATTTTTTTTCACAGACATTTACAGTCTCAAATGTGACTAATGTTCGCACTGTAGAGCTCTGGCTTGTTGTATATTTTTAGGGCTGTTCAGTCATGTTTCAGCATATTATATATAGTATATACTGTAGTTCAAAAATCAGAAAAAATTAGTTTTTCCCCATTTAAACCGGAAAACAACTGCATATTGTGCCCAAGTGCATATTATCATTAAAGCAAAATACAGAAATAGTAAGACATTTTGAAATTCATGCTGATTAACCTTTTTTCTTAAATGTGTTATACTTATTATATAATTTGTAATTAAAAGTAAAAAAAATACAGAATAAAAGTTTTAAAAGTGGTTTTAGACTTTTAGGACCAATTTATTTGTGTTTATTTTGTTAAAACTTTGATACCAGCTTGTCTCTCTGCAGTTAGAGCCACTTCAGTAAGGTTCTGGACAAAAATGAAGTGAACTGCGTGACACAGAGAGTCGTTACACTTTTTCTCTAATTTTTTCCTCCACATTCAGGGTGAAATTGGTGTTGGAGTGCCAGGTTCAAGAGGAGAGCGAGGAGACCCAGGGCCTAGGGTAATGTCCACAATGAATCCATCTCTTGTTCATTTGTTTGTATGCAGATTGTTATAGTGTGTGTATCGGTCTAATTTTTATAGGGAGAAGAAGGTCGGGCTGGAACAGATGGAGAGAGAGGTCCTACTGTAAATATACTCCTACTTTCCGTTCACAACATTCAGCATTCACTCATTATTTTTTACCCCACCACATCCTGTTTTTTGCACATATTGATGTCAGTCAGGCAGTAACAGTCAGTCTCTCTTGATGGGTGTCATTGATCTGAGCCCTCGTCTAGATGTGGAAAGGCTAATGCAGGCAGAGAGGTAGCTGTACGAACACACTGTATTCGTCACACTTTATATTCTGGGCTATGATGTGTTTGTCTCCCACTCGCTACAATTTCAAATCCATTATGAGCCAAGGCCTCTTGCAGTGCTGCACGTCTTCTATCTACAAATGCATACAAATGCTCAGGCAAATAAGATTTCTCCTCTACTCATCTGTCTGTCCCACTGATAGGGTCCTCCTGGCAGCAAAGGAAACGGAGGAGATAAGGTGTGTATAACTTTTCATCAACTGCTACAATCTGTCTCAGGCTGGTCTGTTACTTTGCTAAAATACATTCCTTTATATACACGTTTTATAAACTAAATTTTATAAACTACCAATTCTTCACAGGGTGAACAAGGTCCTTCGGGAATCAAAGGTGAAAAGGTAATTTGTTTTTTATTGTTTTTTTTAATATGCTTTGATCATCTTTCGTTATTACACTGCTTCCTGGATTCTGATTGGTCATTCCAATATTTTTCAATGATAGCTGGTGAATTTGACAGATAAACTTGATTCTTCTTAAGTAATAAAATGATTTAAATGCAAATGAATATTTCAAGTGCATTTATTTATTTGTAGACATATAATAAGCAGAATCATGTACAGAATCATGTATTATCGCAAAATAAACCCCAGTACAGATTATGATGCGAAGTAGCAGGGTTTTGTGTCACCCTAAAAGGAGGTTTATTTTGCATATTAAATATATTAAATATATTATACTGTTATTTCTACATATTTAATGGATTGTATATTGCTGTATTTGATTTTGAATCTTTAAGGGAGATACTCTGCTGGTGGGGGGACCTCCAGGGGAGAAAGGAAAGAAAGGAGAAACCGTGAGTCAAATAGTTTTGATTAAGTTGTGTCAGGTGTTTAATGCTTTTGGGTCACTTTATGAAAGATTAAAGGCCAATAATAAAGGTTGGGTTGCTGAAGGTCTCTTATCTTTTGAGAACATGTGCCTATGGGAAATGGTCATAAATTATTCATGTGTGTCTGCCTCAGGATGTATAGATTGTTAACGAGTCAGTAAGCAACAGGATAAAGGCAGATCTATTGGGTCGATGTAAACTAATCGATTGTATTGATCACTGCTCTCCTCAGGGGGAGCGAGGACCTAAAGGTGCACAGGGTGAAAAGGGTGCAAAGGGACAGGAAGGACCACCAGCAGAACAGGTAAGAATGTTTTTTCTTGTTTATAATTTTTTAATAATATACAACTACAATAACATGTTGTGATGCCTAAATCACTTGTGGCATTTAAAACTATTTTAGCTTTTTTTTTTTTTTTTTAATTTAGACAAAATAGTATAAAATTTAATATGGACTATTTATCGGTTATCAGTCTTAACATGAATAAAAATATCATCTTATTGCTATTAGCCACAATTTTAATACGGGTGCATTTCTAAATAAAATGGTTATTCTCTTTTGATTTTTTTTAAAGGTTGCTCTTTCAGAACCCATTTCTTTTTATTTATGTCTAAGATGTCTCCTAAAATTCCTCAGGTGAACGAAATATAGACAAAAATAAGAGCATAGAGCTATAAAATTTATGTGGATGGCTTAGCTCAGAAAATTTGGTCTTTAAAGAATCTGATGTTTGAGTATGTTGAAATCTCTTTCTTTTGATTACAGACGTTGAGATTTCTTCTTAAACTCTATAGAAGTCATGTTGGGGTCTCTTCTTAGCGGAATAAACTGAGAAGCAAGAGACACAATTTGTTCCCCCTTTAATCTCATTGCTGTTTGAGAGAAATGACAAAGATATTTAAAAAGACATCTCATTTGTGATTTTTCTATCATATTTCCAGGGTCTGAGAGGGGAGCCGAGAGAGAGAGGTTCCACTGGATTCCAGGCTTCCGTGGTCAGAAGGTGAAAAATACACTCACTTTCCTTACAAATGAACAAGATATGTTCATAACATAGCATATGCCTGAATACATTTGGGAATGTTTGCATATGTATGTGTATATGTTGCAGATGTGTGTGTGAATGCCATATTGATCAAATATTTGCTTATCATTTGCAGGGAGAAGCAGGGCAGCCAGGTATCTCAGGAGAAGCAGTGCGTATTCTTATTCAGATGCCTATAACATCAGCACATGACTAGCACATATAGTCCCCAGACTCAGCCGTTTCCTCATGACTGCTTTTTTTTAAATCTGTCCTCTACAGGGAGCATCTGGTAAAGATGATCTGCCTGGCATGAGAGGAGAGAAGGGAGAGGTTGGGTCTGTAGGTCAGCGAGGCCTCAAGGTGTGTTTATGTGTGTGCGTTTTAATGGTTGTCTCTTTGATTAAAACTCAAGCTGACTATTGCAAGCTTTATCTGTAACCTTGAGTAGCCCTTCAGACCAGATGATCACACTGCTTATAATTCTGCCACAGTCTGGATTCCAGGCCATTGTGTCTGACATTCATCTGCATATGTACCTCAGAGCCATTGTATTAAAGTTTTTGTGTGTGAATATGTGTGTGCGTGTGCGTGCATGTGTGGAGAAATTGATTTGTCGAGTGCAGTGTGGCACATGAAAGACTCCTGTGTATGAATCATTCCTCTCAGGGATACATGGGCTGCTGCAGACCGTACTAGCTGCCCTTCAGCCAGCGGCAACATAGACACGCACACTCACATTGCAGATAAGAACTTTTATCTGGATTCAGCATCCCAGATAGACCTCTATCTGTTGTCACTAATGAGAAAGACAGTAATTGAAGGGTGTGTGTGAGTTTGTGTGCTTGTGTGTATGACTGACACATGAATAGTGCTTTATTCTTTCTAAATAGTAATTTCTCCAGTGTCATTACTCCCTGTAACATTGAATGATTGACAGTTTGACAGGGGTTTAATGGCTTACAGGGAGAACGAGGCTCCAAGGGAACATGTGGACCAAGCGGACCAAAGGGAGACAAGGTGAGTAATAAGGAGAGCTCAAGGAAAGTTTTTGTTGTGTCACCATGTTTTGCTGGAAGTGATGAATTGTGTCTGTTCATAGGGGGATGCTGGGATTAATGGCAGACCGGGATTGCCAGGGAGGAAAGGAGAGCAGGTATGTACACATGAATTTATTTATGTGTGAGGCATGTATGCGATTCCTGTCGTTATCTTGCTTTGATGGCAAATTTTATTTCAGGGTGAAGTCGGGTCTCCAGGTCTCATTGGAGCCAAGGTAAGAGCATATTTCATGGGAAACATAGAATATAGTCTGAGAATGGTCTGAGAATATATTTAATAATAGTGTTGTCACGATACATAATTTCACAATTGTACAGTAATTGTTGATATAATTGATGGAACACATATGCCGTTGAACACGTCAAAAAAAAAATCTAAATATTAATAGAAATAATTAAAACAATTACATGTTGCCTAAGGCTACTTCCTGTTTGTTGCTGCCGTGTGGTTTGAGTTTGAGCTCCGTCAAGTTAATTCTTTATCGTCTAATTTTTTATCTTAAAATCAATTTTATACACCATCCTTTTTCAGTTTTATAACGTGTGAATATATCCCCTATCGTATTCTACAACAAAAACAATCAGAGCGCTTTGTTATCACTAGTTCTATTTTTGACTTCCGAGTCCGCTATTAGCATATAGCCCGCTAGCATCGCCAGCGTGGTTGCCGCTAATCTCGCTTACACTAATACTCTATTCACACACATTTCCATTGTTTTACTCACTGTTACTTGCTTTAATGGCGGATGTGTGTCGACCTTTGAGTGCAGGTGAGGACACGGCCCGAGCTGGAGAAGCAGATCCGGGACCTGGTGGCAAAGCAGACCCAGCTGAGAGCGCGGAGAGCCGCGCTGGAAACATCCCAGGCTGACGCTCGTTTCAGGTTTTTCCATAATAAGTAATTATGATGTGTAATATGTACACTACCGTTCAAAATTTTGGGTCATTAGGATTGTTTTTTCAGAATCAGAATCAGAAAGAGCTTTATTGCCAAGCATGTTTGCACATACAAGGAATTTGTTATAGTGTCACAAGCTTCCAGTACACGGAGACAATAACAACACACAGATAATAAAAATGAGATGTGAATAAAATACACATGCATAAATATATGTATGTATAGGTGTGCTATAGATGGAATAGGAATAAAATAATATAAGTTGTAGGGATGTACTAGGGTTTAGGGTGATAAATAAGTATACGGTTATTGCACATACTGTACTTTAATTGCACAATGGGAGAACATTAACTGTTCATGAGGTAGATTGCCTGGGGAAAGAAACTGTTCTTGTGCCTGGCTGTCCTGGTATTCCCATGATGGTGAGTGGGGGGAGTGCAGGGGGGTTCCTCCTGAAGTCCACGATCATCTCCACTGTTTTGAGGGTGTTCAGCTCCAAGTTGTTAAGACTGCACCAGACAGCCAGCTCTTTAACCTCCTGTCTGTAAGCAGACTCGTCTCCATCCTTGATGAGACCGATGACTGTAGTGTCATCTGCATACTTCAGGAGCTTGACAGAGGGGTCAAGAAATTAATACTTCTGTTCAGCAAAGATGACAATAAAGACATTCATAATGTTACAAAAGATTTCTTTCAAATAAATGCCCTTGTTTGGAACTTTCTATTTATCAAATAATCCTAAAAAAAGTGGATCATGGTTTCCCAAAAATGCAGCATAACTGTTTTTTAATGTTACGTGAGCACTCACTAAGTCAGCATAATAGAATGAAATATCTGAAGGATCATGTGACACTGAAGACTGGAATGTGATGGCTGCTGAAAATTCAGCTTTGCATCACAGGAATAAATTGCAATATAAAATACATTAATATACGGTATATCACAATATTATAAGTTTTACTGTATTTTCATCAGATAAATGCAGCCTTGAGAGACTTGTTTTCAAAACATCTTTACCAACCCCAAACCTTTGAACTGTAGTGTATATTATTAAACAAGTAATCAATTGTATTTTATTACAATGTAAAAAAACGTCTCAGGTTACTTATGTAACCATGGTTCCCTGAGTAGGGAACGAGACACTGCGTCCTCTAGGGGTCGCTATGGGGAACGCCTCGTCGTGACCCGTGTCTGAAGCATACATTGAAAAAACACCAACTCGTTGGCCGGCGACAGCCATGACGTCACTACCGGTGCGACTGTCACGACGAGGCGTTCCCCATAGCGACCCCTAGAGGACGCAGTTCGAAGTTCCCATGAAAGGGAACTATGAATTTAGTCGGTACATACCAACATTTACATCACAGTTGGCTCGAATTGAATCTGTACTAATAATACTATTTTATTATTATTTTAAAATTGATTGGTACCAACGTACCAATTCTTTTAAAATCCCTTCTGAATAAGCCAGCGGACAACAAAATGAACTATTTTACTGCAACATAGGACTACATATTCTGCAATCCTTCTAATTTCAAAGAAAAAAGTGGAAAAGGTACAATAAAAATGTGAACAAATCGTGTAACGTTCATCGGTTGATGTCCAGGGTGACAGAGGCTTTGATGGAGTTATGGGGCCGAAGGGATCACAAGGAGAGAAAGGTGAACGGGTGAGTATACCAACTTCTTTAGCTCCCCTGCTGTTTAAGCCTAACACTGCTGATCTCAGTGAAGTGGCTTATCAAATGTTCCACCTTAACACATCTTCCTCCTGCTTTCTTTAGGGCCAATCTGGTATCCCTGGCCCCCCCTGGTCCAAGAGGAGCAGATGGACCCCCTGGTCTAACAGGCCCTCAAGGACCTGCTGGAGGTAAAGGTCCAAAGGGCCTGCAGGGGCAAAAGGTATCAAACTTACTTTACAGTACTGTATATGTGCAAAGGGACATTTACATAATTTTAGAGCTGCTATTCATGTCTGTGTTTCTATAGATTCGTTTTTTTTTCAGCAGGAGGGGTGTCATCGACATTGGACCACACAGCATGCTTTTTAAAATTATAATAGGCCTTTAAATTAGAATACAGTAAATAACAACAAAACTTTGATGCGGATATATGTCTGTGACTGTATCTCTTAATTCATGCTGTCATATGGATATCCAGTGAGTAACTGAACTTTCACTGACATTACGAATGTGAATTTTTTTACATTTTCAAAAAATACACATAGCACAGTAACGTTCTGGGCTCATTTTGTCATAACCGGTGGTTCAGCGAACAATTGAGTAATTAGAGCCGATTCAGTGAGAATGTGAGTTGTCGTACCAATTTAGTCCATGGTTCAGACCATTTACTCTTTTCAGACTGATTTGTCAGTTAGTTTGACGGATTCATTACAGTCTTTCTCTCATCACATACAGTACAATTCTATTTATTTTATCTATTTATTTATTTTTTTCATTCTTTTTTCATTTTTATTATTTTGTTGTTGTTGTTGTGATATGCTTTGTATTGATTTAGAGCAGCAGTGCAGTGCTGCTCCTGAATAGCACTTCAGGAAACACTGATTCATATGCACAAGAAGCCATGGTTAGGTCATCATATGTGAGATATTGAATATTTATTGTAGGGAGAAAGAGGTCCTTCAGGCCCTGCTATGGTTGGCCCACATGGCATACCTGGGATCCCAGGAGAAAGAGGAGAACAGGTGACTCTATACACCTACTTGTCCCCAGCATTTTTTCTCCATACTGTGCATCTGTCATCACTAAATGTGTCTCTTTGTGTTTTTGTATCAGGGTGGGATTGGCTCTGATGGACCTAAAGGAGACAGAGGAGAACCAGGCATGACGGTCAGAACAAATAGACGTTCATGATTTATTGTAATGTCATCATGCATATTTTATTCTGCTACTTGAGTCTCGTTGAATCCTCAAGATAAGTAACAATGACACAAAGACTGCTTGCATCTCTCTTTGCTCTTAAAGGAGGATGAGATTCGGGCTTATGTTCGAAGTGAGATGAATCTGCATTGTGGTGAGTGGATAATCGTCATTTATCTTCATCTGCAACAATTTTCCATCATCAATGATTGTTTCACATTTTAAAGTCCGTAAATCAAAACAAATCCTCTACAGCAACTTTTATTTTTGGAGCTATAAGCTGCACTGCAAGAAAAATAATATTAACCAATTGCCATTATTTTGGCATTGTTTTAAACTTGATTTATGGTCTGGCTTCAATGTCATACGGAACAGTCACGATAAATGAAATATGGGATGAAATCAACCTCTGCCTACTTTTTTTCCATTTTATATATATTTTTCACTTGGGAATACATTTTACAGAAGTATGCTGATTGATGTTGATTTTAATTTCTCTTGTATCAATTGTCTCTCTTTCTCTCTCTTTTTCCCTAAGCTTGTGGAGGTAAGTTGTGACTTATATAGCCTCAATATAGCCAGTAGACATTTTCCTATCATTGCATCAGCAACTCATGTGCCACAATACACTAACAGTAGGCTTGTGTGATCTCAGTCTGTATAAACCTTGTTGTTGAGTATGTTCGTGAGAATTTCTGGGTTTTGTGCATGCTAAATTGCTGATGTAGTGCATGAACTTTGGCTACATCTTTACACGCATGGATGCTTGTGTGAGTGTGTTCACTGATGGGTTTTACTATCTTACGTTTGTGTGATTCGTTATGGGCGTGTTCTCAGGTGTTCATGAAGTTTAGAAACCTGTGCAGGCTTACCGAAGCTCCTCCACGTCCCCAGAGCGCTCACTAATCCGAGGGGACGAGGAGGGTGAGTCCTATCTTCAGCTCATCCTTTATTCTCTGTTTATCCTCCTCTTCTAAACTAAAAACTCTTGTCACTCTGTCCTCTATTTATTTTTATTTTTTGAAACGGCTAGTTTAAAGAAACAGTTCACCCAAACATAAAATTCTGTCATAGTTTTACTCATACGTGGAACACAAGAGAAGATGTTTTGAAGAATGTTCACACTGATTTTTTCCATACCACAAAAGCCCATATGACTCATGTGCCAAGTGCAACTAACCTATCTCTTGCACTTGTGAAAATTAAGTGTGCTTAATTGTATTGAATGTGCACTTGTAGCATACATATAGCATTCATAGCATATTTTTTGTTGTGCTTTAAAGAATTACACTTTTTGATGTGTTGGCTTACATACAAAAGCACATATAAATTTTAACTGTAGTTTGTTATTCAGTATTACATTAATGTTTTAAATGTACTAAATTGCATCTTCATCATTGCAAATGTGTAATTACCAATATATTTAAATACATGACATAAAAGAGTTTTAATAGAAATTATATTAAATGGCTTTCACAGGCAATTAGGTATCAAAGAACATTGCATTCAATTTACACTTAAGCATATTGTTTTCAAGTATATTATTTCTGTAATAAGTACTCTTTTTTTAAAGTATGCTAAAGTGTACTTTTTCACAATGGTAGTCACTCTGTGTTGTTAAAAAAAGCAGTGTCGACATTTACAAAACATCTCATTATCATGTTCTATGGAAGGAAGTAAATCATACAGGTTTGAGACAAGGATGAGTAAATGATGACAGAATTAAAATTTTTCTCTTTAAACTACCCCTTTAAACAGAAACAATGTTTCTGCCTTAAACATAAGTGGGATATGTTAAATACATGCTTGTATTTAAAATTATCCAGTTGCACATGTACATCGATTGCTTTCAAACTATGATATCCCAGCATTCTAAACTGATTTCCAATAGCCTTCACATTCTTTGTTTGTGCATCCATGCACGTTTTTTTGCAGGTCATAAGCTGCGTGTTGTGAGGAACACAAACGATCCAGACTACGAGCACATTTACTCTATAGAGACCTACGATGATGATACTCCAGTGGTGGAGATTGCTGACTATGACACCACGGTCAATAAAAGCCAGGGTATGCCAATTTTTTTCCTGTAGAAAAAGTTTGTCTGTAGCTTTCTGCGTAGACATAGTATAATATATGGATATTTTGGCAGGTCAAACCGTCTCTTTTGATTCATTAAAAGCTGAAAGGACAAAATTTGAGGTGAAAGGTAAAGGTAAGCCACCACTTCTTATTCATTATGGAGATTAAAGGCTCCATTCAGTCATCTTTACGCAGTATGTTGGGGAGCCTGACTATACCATTACTGTGGAAATAACAGTGTCGATGGTGCATATTTTATTCTCCACATTTTACTGCTTTTCCATGTCTTTGTTGGGAATAAAGTGCTTTGAAATGCTGTCTGTAGGAATGTATTAAACTTTTGTTGATGTCCCCATCTTCAAACCCCTAACAAAACTCTATGATGATGGATTATCATAATTTTGCTCTCTGTAATTGCTGCAAACTATTGTTCTTTGCTGTGCTCACTTCCTGTTGTTTCTCTGTGTATCATCTGCATGCTGTCAACCCGCTGACTCATCTGTATGACAGCTCTTAGTATGAGATTGCAAGCAGCTGTCCTGCCACAGAAAATAGCTGGACATTTCTACAGATCTCCGTGGTGCTCTGAACTTTAGAGAGATGCCATAATGACAAGTTTAAAAGTTGAATATGCATTTGTGCATTTCAGAGATGACTTTCACCATATTGTTTAATTTGCATTAATTCAGGATAGAACTTTTGTAGTGTTTTCTGTGGAGCAAAATAAGAACTGCTGTGCATCCTTTACCATTCAACCATTTAATTATTTTTTAATGTGTGCTTTTAGACTCCTGCATCTTGCCCATGGAAGAGGGTAATTGTTCCTGCTCTACTCTGCGCTGGTACTTTAACTCTGAAGTGGGCGTCTGTAGACCTTTTATCTACAGCGGCTGTAGAGGAAATGCTAACCGCTTTTTACAAAAGGAAGAATGTGAGAAACTCTGTCTACAAGAGTAAGAAGGTACATTAACACGCACTGATTAATACAAAAGGCTGAAGGTATCAAATGGTGCAATAATGCATATAATGATAATGTAAATAAATTATTAATTGCATGGGATAGAGATGTGATTTCTGCACTGTATCTGTAAGAGTTTTTCTCACAATCCTATCTATGTTACAGCATTTTGTTTTAGCTTGAAGACAAGAGTTGACTGTAAATGGAGGATCACTAACTCGTCTGCAATATGAAAAAAACTAAACCATAGTGTTTAACACTGCCATTATGCACAAGAGATAAAGGTAAAGATTGATGTCAACACCTTTTCCTCAATGGGACAAGCAAATTTTAAATATTGATCAGGTCTAAGGTTTTTTTTGTTTATTTATTGTTTATAAAATCCTACAATTGGTGGCTGACTAAATACTTTTTTCCCCCACTGTGTATATATATATATATATATATATATATATATACACACATTACTTGCTTTAACACATGTACATTAGTCCAATTAGTAACTGCATACAGTATTATCTTTCATATTTTCTCCTTGATGTTGCATATTTACACCCACTGACATTTTCTCAGGTGCTAAAAACAGAAACTAGAACACACATTGTAATATTCTTAACAAATTCATCTTAGACTTGTTCGTAGAATAAGTCTGTGCTGTACAAAATTGTACTGTAAATGTAGATCTGTATTTTTATCTGCTTAAAAATGAGAATGAATGTTCTTGTATTATTAGATGCTGCATGTTTGCTTGGACAAATGGTGCTATTTTTATATTTTTGACTGATTTTAATGTTTTCATGTATTCCGTTCATTATATTCAGTGTTTATTTCCATTATAGTATAAGGATTTTACAGTCCTGTTCATTTTTAAGTGATGTTGGAGCAATTTACAGTTTTCTTTGCACAGTTTTAATAGCACATAAAAGTAATAATTTTCCAAATATGCATTCATACATTGTAAAGTTATCTTTTCTACATGTGTTCCGTATTTGCTTGAAATAAACATTGAAATTTAAAAGGGAAAAAAAATAACATGAACCAAGACATAAATGTCTATTTAAATGTGATGAACAAGTCTGAATTTAATGGTTTGGAGATCTCATTTTAACAAAGAATATTAACAAATGCAGATCTACATTTGACTAGCCTTTTATGTCAACTAGAGCCTTATTAAAAAGGTCAGTAACCACCTGTAGTTTATTTAGACCAGAACTACATAGTCTTTTCATTCTCTCTTCTCTCTCTCTCTGTAAATTTGGTGTTACTCTATGTTGTGTTGTCTTTTTGGGAGGTGGGTGGGGGGTTTGTTTGTGCATCAATCCTAGTCACACTTCTGATGATTCAGTAATGATTCTGGACCATCTTGTTATGATGCCAGTGTACACTCATTACTACTCCTCCGGGGCTGTCACTCAAACACTGTTTTCATATTCATTTCTACTCATATTTATTTATTGACTGCATTTTAGCCAGTCCATCTGTTAGGGTATTTTATTTTATACTCTCATGCCTGCTTAAAGGGTTAGTTCACACTCATGTCGTTTCAAACCCGTAAGACCTTCGTTCATCTTCGGAACACAAATTAAGATATTTTTGATGGAATCTGCGAGCTGTCTGACCCTACATGGACAGCAATGCAACTGAAATGTTCCCAAGTCCAGAAACGTAGCAAGGAGATCGGTAAAATAATCCATGTGACATCAGGGGTTCAACCTTAATTTTACGAAGCAACGAGAATGCTTTTTGTGTGCAAAAGAAAAAAAAAACGACTTTATTCAACAATTCGTCTCCTCTGCGTCACCCTGTAGCGCCATTTTGGAGAATATCCGCTGGACGTAAACAGTGTATGCTGTTCTGTGTCAGCTGCGTCACACACAAGTTTGTGCAAAACACAATTTATGTCAATGCCAAAACTTTTGGCCATGACTATATCCCAGGATACGTCGCCCCTTTGGGGGTATAAATTAACTGAAAAAAGAATGCTTGTTTGGCAATGCATGTTACAACATTTTAGCCAAATTTTTAAAAAAACATTTATTCTCTTATAACTTAAACTAAAAATTTGTAATTTGTCAAATTCTGTTGAACAATAAGTATAAAGCCAATTTAGAAATATAATAGTCTACTGTATCATATTGAATATGCACATTTCTAGGGCCTATAAATTATCAATATGACCAAAACTTTGCTGAAAAACCTGTTGTACACAATCTATGAACAGTTTTTTTATTTTTATGAAGTCAATTTAAGATGAGCATTTACTGGACTGAAGCAACTTTGGTTTACTTGATTATTCATACACCATTTTTAATGTTAAAAATTGATTTATTCATGATTTATTTTTACATTTATTCATATTAATGTAAATGTCAAATATGTCCATCTCTCAGTTATCATTGATTTGCAATGAACTGCATATATACGAGCCATAAAAGCCTGATGTGTGTGTGTGTATGAAATATGATACTCAACAAAACACACATGCAAATTTATGCATATGTGTTTTTAAAGTATCATATTTATACATCAGGCTTTTATGGCTCATATGCAATTCATTGCAAATTAATTAATTATTGAGAGATTGACAAATAAATGTTCCCCAAAAGCCTGTTTGTGTCACATTTGGCATTTAAATGAACATGAAAAAAAATGTAAATAATAATAAGTTTTAATTTTTAACATTAAAAAGTGGTGTATAAATAATCAAGTAAACTCAAGTTGCTTCAGTCCAGTAAATGTTTATCTTACATTTACGTTATAAAAATCATTAATGATTTCTGAGCAAAAAAAGACTTAACTATCTAAGAACATTATAAACTATCAATCAGAAGGCATGAAGTAGATTGTGTACAAGGTTTTCAGCAAAATGTTGGTCTTATTGATAATTTATAGGCCCTAGAAATTTGCGTATTAAATATGATACAGAATACAGGCTATTTTCATAAATTGGCATTATTGTTCAACAGAATTTTACAAAGAATGTTTAGTTCAAGCTATGAGAGAATAAATGTTTTTTTTTTTAAATTTGGCTAAAATGTTGTAACACGCATTGCCAAACAAAGAGGCGACGTATCCTGGGGTAGGCTATACAAACATTAAAATCGAAAATAAAATTAATGTTTAAAAAAAAAATCATGAAATCGTATTAGGCTATTTGTGTCCTAAGACGATGGAAAATAGCAATAAATACATTTTCTGATTTCTCTTTATGGTCTTGCCCTTTTTAGGGTTGAACTCATATTAACATAATGTTTACAGCTCGCATCTTTAATGTAATGCGGATTATAAAATAAAATAATAGAGCATGGTAATACAATGTTGTCCACACTGAAACCGTATCTTATAAATAGGTTTTTAAGAATCGCGCGGACAGCGTGCCTTTCCACGCTGAAGCCTGCAGTTTGTGTGTGTGTGTGTGTGTGTGTGTGTGTGGATGCGCGCTCGCGCAGAGGGAGCGGGTTCAGTACATCTGTTACACAGGATAGCGGCACTCATGGGTACTCACAGAAGCACAGTGGCGATTTCTATCACCGTTTAGCACCACTGAAGGTGCGACATTTATTCCCGGCACGTACCTGACAGCGGACTGTCCTGAAGCCCCACGGAATCTCGCGCTCTAGCAGAGAGAGAGAGAGTAGCGCGCGAGCTCCGCGGACCGCAGTGGAATGTAGCGGGGATCCCCGGCGCGCGGGACAAGGTGAGTAAAAACCTCCTTGATGCGTCTTCACACTGCTCACGAGTCTATTGATCTTTTCACTTAATTGCCATTCGGTTCCATTTTACCATCACTCTTCGTTCGTTTTTGGCTGTTTAAGTGGTACATTTTGGCAACGCGCGCCTGGGAATAGAAATGATAAGACTCAATCAGCAGTGTCGTTTGATCTGGACTCGACTACTAATATTCCTTACACTGCAAAAAGAATTGGCAGCAATGTCATATGCGGGTTATGTCGCCACTACGGACGATTTGTTACCGAGCAAATCCATGTGTTGCCTGTAATCTGCAGTCAGCCATATGAAATTCAAGATGTCATTTCAATAGCTATATTGCATATTATTTTCATTAGTTTGAATAGCCATTATTGTCAGTCACTATGCACTCTTAGGCTTATGAGTTGCTTAATATGACAGTTCAATTTGCATGAGGGCACCATCCTCTCACACTGATGCTTTCAAACACAACTGAACACATGCACATGCTCAGAGACACGTGACCAGCAAATTATTGAGGGAAAAAGAGTTAAATATGCATGCGTCAATCATTTGACATTCATCACACCCATCATCATCATCATATTGCTCCCACATGCACACACATTCTCACTGAATACAGTCAAAGGGATTTTCAGATGCACTTAAGATCAGGCGGCAAGATGCCAGTTGAAGGAAGGAAAAGGAGAAGAGGGTGTATAAGACGGTGTGTGTGTAAATTTCTATTAAGATTAAAAGCTACAGCTTGTTTTTAGGACATGAAGCAACAGTGAGGAACAATGGAATGTGGAGCAGGTATATAAGTGGCCTTGATGCGTTAAGAATGTGTATGAAAGGAAAGAGGAATCTAGATCATCAGCTATTTTAGCTCCTTCTAGATGTGGAGTTATTTTGGTTCTTCCCTCTGTAGTGACTGTAGTTTCAGGTGTTGTCACGCTCTTTCATTTCCAGAGAGTCTGTAAACAAATTTAATGCATTTGCATATTCATTCCACTATTAATATAGCTCATTATAAATCAATTTTGACTCCACGCAACTGTAGCGCCCTTTTGTCCACAGAGACACACCAACAGATTCATTATCACATGCATATGTGCAATTTGTTGCATAAATGTGTGGTTTGAAAATGAATGTGGTTTCTTGTACAAGGAATAGGAACATTTTGTGAAAATCTGGAAAAAACTTGACGAGGCTTTACAGGTTTGATATCATCATGTGACCATCTTAATGTGGCAATTTTAATATGCAGAATAAAGAACAAGATATTAATTATCCAAAACTAGAACTAAAACCATAAAAAAAACATTTGTCACTTTAAAAAAAATATTTCAAAATGTAACAAATTCAGCAGCCAAAGCAACATTTCTTTGATTTAAATTCATGTACTAATAACTCAAACTGAAATAAAAACTAGCTAATAAACTATACAGACATAAAAAAAATAAATAATAAAAATGTCAAAACACACAAAAAAACCCCCCACTTGATTAATTTGTTGAATAAATTAATTTAAAAACAAAGTACTAAAATAAAAACTAATTCAAAATATAATAATAGTATCTCGGTACTAAAATAACACTTAGCTGCAGTGGAGGGGAAGTTCATTTTGTTTAAATTTAAATTATTCATACAAAGCTATCATATGACTTCCGAATGCTTGGAATATAGCAATCGATTCACACATTTTTATAGTATTCTTCTGCTTTTGGAGCTTGACGTAGGATCACTATAATCTGTCATTGTATGGAAAAAAAGAAAGCTCCACAAAGAACATATTTTGTGTTCCGCAGAACATTCTGTTTTAGAAAAACATAAGGTTGAGTAAGTAATAAGAATTTTCATTTTCAGGTGTATTATTCCTTTAACAGGCTACAAACCAGCGTGGAGAGACCAAATTGGCTTGGAAAACAACAATAATGAAATAGAGTCTGATAAATGGCAGAAAGAGCTGAGACAGCATGGTTAGTCTAAAGAAAGATGGATGGATCTCAAGCATAGCATAATGATGGATAGAGGGTAGGAGGTAGAAACAAACTCCTCCAGCGATTTCACAACACAGTGTGCACCTGCACCTCCCACTCATCTCTCATTCTCTCCTTTTCTCTCTCTTTCACTATTCCTTAGTTTTTTACTTGCAACGCCGTGATCTGCCATTTCTGACAAAAGTCAGTCTTACTTATTTTTGTCTCACTTCTGTGAGCATTAGATGTTGAGCTTCAGTTATTTGTACTACAGAATCCGAGCCCTAAATCTATGTCTTCCTCTGTCACTCAAAAGTTCCACTGCAGTGACCTCTTTTCATTGCCAGCATGGCATGGGGTGCATCGGCATGCCAACCGTATTGCTCTCCCCCCTCTCTGCAGTCTCATTGTGTTAAACATCAAAACTTTCTTTCTGCGGTCATTATCACAGATGTACTCAAAAGGCAGAGTCTGAGCCCCACTTGAACAGCCACAGCTGAAAAAAGTCTCAAATTTTGTATTTTGACCACCCTTAAACTGTAGACCAGTTGCCATAGTAACAACCATCCTAGAAATGGGATCAGTCTCAAGTCGAACTCATTTATTTATTTATATATTTATGTTTTTTTTTTTTTTTGGAATGACAGGCTGCTGTGATTGTGCAGCCTATAATTTCAGATCTGCTTGTTTTGATGGCATGTATTTTAGATTTTGTGTTTATTAGAACATTAACCATTTCTTTAACATGATAAATCAGTCCTTATACACTACCATGTCCATAGCCAAATTCATCAAGGTTTCAGCAATCGTTTGTGTCCTTGGTCTTGTGTGAGTGATCGTTGTGTGCTGTAATTCATCTGTCGGAGTAGTTCTCTTGTTGGACACAAAAACTTGGATGCGTGCAGGACTGTAGAATCACACATACATGATCGCTCCTGTGTACATCATACTCATCTTTATTGTCCTGTCTTGCTAGATCAATACCTTATTACAATTCAGAAGGACAAGTCATACCCCTATTCCACCAAAATTATGCCAGTGCTTGGTTGGTTGCGTCTGTGAATCTCTCTTAGTCCCAGCCTGCATTTGCTCTGACTTGAATGAGTGACTATGACGTAACTGACTATGATACTACTAGGGATGCAGTAGTAGTATTAATATCCAGATATTCAACTGGCAGATATTCAGCTCTGAAACTTTTAAATAAAACAATTAAAATATGTAAATGTTTTTTATTATAATTTGTTTTTATAAATGTATTTATATATAAATATATTCAAATATATTTTATAATATATATTTTTTTAAATATATATACATTTTAAAATTATATGCATAGATAGATAGACAGACAGACAGACACAGACGGATAGATAGATATATTACATTTTAATATTATTTTGTCAAAATAAAAATAAAGCACTAAAAATAAATGCTTTTAAATACAATGTATTAAATGCTATTTTTACATTTTATATACAGGATAGATAGATAGATAGATAGATATTAAATGTTAATTATTTTAAAATAATTTTTAAAAACAATTCAGTCTTTTTAAATGTATTTAAATGTTGTCTTTTATATTTATTATTATTTATAAAAATACATGTTTTTAATAAAGATATACATAATGCAAAAGAAAAATCTGGCACCTTGTCAGTGGAAAAGGGGTCACAGTGGATCTCAGTGTGCCCAGCTCCAGTAAATACTGTACATTTTGACCTGTTCATTAAACAACAGAACGTGTTTCATTCTGTTTTTGTCTTCCCGTCATAGAGCTGTCAATCATTCATCAACGCCCCAAGAAAACACCTGAGTAGGTGGAGCATGGCCAGTGGGAGTGGCTGGCGTTACTATGCCTGAAGGCACGTGGCGATGGTGTCCATGGAGACAGATGGCAGCTTCACTGGGGTCCATGGTCTGTCCCTCTTACAGGCTGAAGATAGCGTGGGGGCCGGACTTCCGCAGCAGGAGGGGACGTGGCTCGGCTTCCGGGCTACAGTGAGTGCTGTGCTGCTGCTGGAGCTGCTCCTGGGGGTGGGTGGCAATCTCACCGTGCTGGTGTTATACTGTGGTCACTGCAGCCTGTTGGAGTCCGTCAGTCATGCCGTCACACTCAGCCTGCACACCCTTGACCTGCTGCTCTGTCTCCTTTGCCTGCCGATCACTGCCACGCTCCTCATCCTGGGTGGAGCCTCGGTTCCTCACCACGCCTTTCTCTGCTGTCTCCACGAATCGGCAGCCAGTTTCGCCAGCGTGGGCACTGCACTTAATCTCCTGCTCATCAGCTTAGATCGCTATGACATCAGCGTCCGGCCAGCCAATCGTCTGCTGACACCTCGAAGGGCGACCATTTTACTTGTTGGAGTATGGGCGGTTTCTTTAGCTGTACCCCTCCTACCATTCTTGGAGGCGGGGTTTGTTTCAGGGCAAGGAGAGGGGGTGTTTGTGCACTCCAATAGCACTGTGCTTTGTTCAGAGTGGGGGGGATCTCTACAGGCTCATCTGTTACTACAGGTTCCTGTGTTCCTGTGCTCTCTCGCTGTGATGCTGTTTACATACTCGCGAATTCTTCAGGCACTGCACATCCGCATCGGACGCACACCCAGGCCCCATCGAGACAGCAAGCGGCCTGTGCAACGCCTCTGGTTACGCCGTAAAAGGTCAACAAGGTCACCGGATCACACAACGAGAAACACACCCACCTCCCCACCGCCACTTTCTACCGGGCCACTTATCGCCTCGGATACAGTTACAACAGTAACCATCAACACTGAGACGAACACCCCCTCACTCACCACACCACTTAGCCCCACCCCTACTGTATCCGTGATAACCTCACCCTTAAGCCCCACCCCCACTGTTTCAATGGTAACCAAGCCTTTGAGTCCCGCCACATCTGTGTCCGTCATAACTAGCCCCCACATCCCTACCCCTGCTACATCATCAGTGACCATGCCTTTGAGCCCCATGCCCACTGTGTCCACGGTAACCACTCAGCTAAGCCCCGCCCCCGCCCAAGGGCCACCCAGCATGGGTGTGGGAGCGTCAGTATCGGCCATTTTGGCTCTGCGTCGAGCGGTTCGGCGCCACCGTGATCGGCGGGAACGTCAAAGACGAGTCTTTCGCATGTCTGTCATCATCATCCTCTCATTTCTGCTATGCTGGGCACCTCTCTCCATCATGCCCCTTCTCATGCTGGCCTTTGGGCCCTCTGATTGGCTAGAACGCCTGAGACTCTGCTTCCTGGTGCTCGCATATTGGACAGTAGTGCTACATCCGCTACTGTACGCATTCACGCGGCAAAAACTGCGCAAAGTTCTGCATACCCGTCTGCGCAGGCTGAGGTCGCAAAATGCGCAGACTCGTATTCGCACTAATACCAGGATCCACCGCAAGCACAGGGCAGATTGCAGCGATGCTACTGACCGCTGCCTGACGGAGGCTGTTAGAGAGTGAGTGTTTGTGTGTCTGTGTGTCTCTTATAACTAGGCTCACACAGAATCTGAATCTGCATTCCTATGTGTACATCCGTCATTCCCTTGTGTTTTGGTTTATTCAATATTTTGGATGGATTTAATTATGCTTTCAGCTGGTAATATCAATATTTTCAGATCCATTTAACATATTTAACCATGGGTAAATCCAAGGCCGTAACCGTATTTTGAACATTGAGGAGGGAACCAAACTATTTTTTTTTCTTTGGTAAGGGAACAAAGAAAAATGTATTGTAAAGTAATCAGTTTGAACTATTTGCAAATAATATTTTTATTCTAAAATATGCACACATACACTTAAGGCTGAGGTACAGTTGAGCATGCAACAGACAGACATTCTTTTCAAGTGCTTGCATATATCAAATCACTTGGCATATGTGCTGTTGTCCTCACACAAGTCCGTGTGAACAGAAAAGTTGGGAATTTATGAATTCATATAAATTAGCCAAAATGTAAAATAGTTATGAATCATTTTTAAAATAGTTATGAATGAGATTGTGTTGCAAATACACACAAGTACACTTTAGGCTAAATTGTCTGCCTAATATGCTGAAAACAGCTCCGTTAATATTTCTTGTCTCGTCAACATTCAGTTATGAATTACATGAATCAGGTAAATGATAGCCTACATGTTCAATTCAAAACAGTGAAATTAATATTTCTGTCAAAACAAATTATTTGTTAGGCTTGTTCATATGTTGTTTAGCTACTTATGTCTTCACACACGTTCACCCCTAAACCGGAAGCATCGTGCTGTAATTCGCTCTCGTCTTCTGTGAACAATAAAGCCTTCTTTGATTTAATTGGCCATGTCAATTATTTGAACATTGACAAGCGCTGTTAGCCCGCTGAGGCAGACTAGTCTAAAAATGTAACTTTTTGTTATCCTACCAACAAACAGAGGAGTGGTAATGGAGCGCAGCAGAACAACATTAAGGATATCAAATACTGAGGTTGACAATTTGGCCATATCTAATTATTGAGGGGACTTGTGGTTACGGCCCTGGTTAAATCTATTCCTCAGATTTCCCCCACAAATCTGTGCAAAAAATGTCAAAGAAAAAGAAAAAAAGTCAGCAGATTCCGTCTGGGCCTATTTATGACTGTAGATAAAAGGTGTGTGCAGGAAACCATTAATGTGTTAGATGATATATGTGACTCGCTCACCTCTATAAAGTCAAACTAAAAGACGTAGATTGTCCACAAGTGTGTTGTATCATTGGCAACTAATCAGCACAGGGTTTCTAAAGCACATTGAACTCTGATCTGAGGTCAGCAGGGCACTGTCTAATTAACCAGTAGAGCACAAATGTTCCCATGGTGCTAGGGAAAAAGAGCGAGACTGAGAGAGGGTTCCTACAGGTGTGAGTCTGCCAGAGGCCATGTGCAATAAATTCCAAATCCAGGTTATGCATCGCATGAGATCCATATAAATTAATACCAACTTATTCGCATTCATTGTGTGGTGTAAAAGTAACCATCTATCCACCAGTACACATACATGTGCACATATTTTACAGTGTCCTTCTCACTGATAGTCTAGAGGGCAACAGATATATCATTGTGTTTATTAATGTATATGATCAGGGATGTAAATAGTAAATAATATTTCTGTGGTTTGAAACTGCAGCCAATTTGAACTCTGCTCTACCAAGGGCATGCATACTGGTTCGATAAGTTTCTAAAAATACTGACAAAACAACTTTTACAAAGTCAAAATTAATTTATTTTATTTGTGTCCCATATACTGTATGTATATCTTGTCAGTGCTGTATATTATTTCAGATTGAGATGGTTATTGTATTAATTTATATAATAGAGGAGCAATAAGTCTGAATTACAGTAATAAAAAGATTCAGCCTCTTTGATTGTTTGCTTTGTTTGTTCCCAACCTCAGCTGTCAAAATTCCAACGTGATCTCATGATAATTCGTATGTATTTTACGTAAAAAGTTTTGAATGATAACCATATTCATACATGTGGAATATTTTAGATAGCAGCACACTACCATTCAATAGTTTGGGGTCAGTAAGATTTTTAAAAGTTTTTGAAAGCCAAGGCTGCACTTATTTGATCAATAATACAGTAAAAAAAGGTAATGTTCTGAAATATTATTACAGTTTAAAATAACTGTTTTCCATTGCAATATATTTTAAAATGTAATTTATTCCTGTGATGACAAAGACACTATTTCAGTCTTCAGTGCCACACGACCCTTCAGAAGTCATTGTAATATGCTGATTTGCTGCTCAAGCGACATATCTTATTATTTTTACAGTTGAAAACCATTGTAAGGTTTACTTAAAAAATATTGTGATAGTACCACGGTACTGTGGAGCAGTGAGGTTTTGAATGATAACCATATTCATACATGTGGAATATTTTAGATAGCAGCACACTACCATTCAATAGTTTGGGGTCAGTAAGATTTTTAAAAGTTTTTGAAAGTCAAGGCTGCACTTATTTGATCAATAATACAGTAAAAAAGGTAATGTTCTGAAATATTATTACAGTTTAAAATAACTGTTTTCCATTGCAATATATTTTAAAATGTAATTTATTCCTGTGATGACAAAGACACTATTTCAGTCTTCAGTGCCACATGACCCTTCAGAAGTCATTGTAATATGCTGATTTGCTGCTCAAGCGACATGTCTTATTATTTTTACAGTTGAAAACCATTGTGCTGCTTAATGTTTTTTGGAAACCATGAGACCTGTTTTTTTTTCAGCATTTTTTGATTATTAGATATTTCAAAATATCAGATGTCGAATAGTAGTGTAGGCTACACTTTATTCCAAGGTACTTCAAAAATACCATAGTATTGTTTGGTAAGTGCTCATACATACTTTTGACACGAATGTATGAGAGGCTATGCTAAATATGCTAAATGAGCATAGTCACAGCTATTTTATTTTATTAAGCAACTTTTCTCATTTGCACATGAACATGCATTCAAATGACCTATTTGGAATTGTTCATTTATTTCCAAATGAGGAAAATTAATGTATTTCATCAAATTTACATATTACATATTAAGTAGCATAATCAGCATATTATCCCCATCTCCCTCATTGTTTCTGTTTCTTTTAATTTTGAAAACTGAAGTATGCTGATTAGTATGGATGCCTTCTGTTTGTGAGCCTTCGTGAGCAAGGAGAGAAAAGGAGAAAGAGAGAAGGTGGGTGGGAAATATTTGTTCTTACTGTATGCAACATTAAAATACTGCCGTGTATTCATTAAAATCTCTTTCTCGCGTCCTCTCCCACAATTCTCTCTCTCACACATGCATCTTTTTTTAATCTCATTTGTTCCAGTCATCATCTTCTTTTTATCACTGACTGTGCCTAGCTTTCTCTCTCTTCGTTCTGTCCTCGGTTCTCTCTTCTGTAAACTTACATAAGAACAAAGAAGAACTGCCTGGGCAAGGGGAAAGTCACCTTGGAGGACAGGAAGAGAGAGAGAGAGAGTCGTGTGGGCGTAATAACTAGCAGAAAGCTGAATCCCATGATCCCATGTTGACTGAATCAGGCGGCAAGTACACATTCCCGTGTTCCTCATAGATTCAGTACGTAAACGTTATGACCTCTTCGTTTTCGTGTCATTTATTCATTTATTTACTCTTTCTCTAGATTTTCCTTGTTCATAATGACCTTATTTTACTATATTAACCCTTGCAAAAATGCTTGTACTTTACTTGTGCGAATTCATTAAGAAGCAAAACGACATTCAACCATATTTTAATCAATCATAGTTCCTTCAATAATCACCCTTCAGTCATTAGTCGGGTGCTTGTTTTATTAAAGCAAAAATAAATACCCGTGGACTAATTATATTGAACAAATCATGTAAAATAATGCTGTAGACTTTAGTGTACCTGCCTAAATTCCAATGCAAAACCCCGCTTTATCACAAGCCGAAATAGCTCAGTTGGGAGAGCGTTAGACTGAAGATCTAAAGGTCCCTGGTTCGATCCCGGGTTTCGGCAAAGCTTTTTCCTCTCCTCAGAGTATCTAGAATTAACTTTACGTCAACGGGCAAAAGCTATGTTCGAAAAGCAAAAAGAAAAGTTGTATAATAGAAAAGGCAAAGCGGATGAAACTAAAGTGCTGTATGTTGTTCTACCTCTTTCTCCGGTTATGAGGTGTTGAGTACATACATAATGGCCTGATGATGTCTCTAGATTTAGTTCATTTAATCGCCCCTGCGATTTTGCTCTAATTGCTCCAGAGGGCGGTGTTGATCAACAATTCACCATTCTGACCTCGTGGAAAACGCGAGGCTATGAAACTTGTGCTGACCAGAAAAGCGTGGAAGTCGCTGGACTGCGGGATAACATTACGGTACAGTACCAACAGTATAACATCTTGAACCCAGTGCACCTGTTTTGATGTATACAGCTCAACTGATTTCAGACCTAGTTGTGACTCACAATATGCTGCTGCTTGGCCTAAATGTTTGGTCTGTCAGGCTACCATAACATATCCTAACAGGACAAACGTTACAGCATTTTTTCTAAATTTAGCCTTGACACCTCATGTTTTCAGCACAAATGTGTAATATTCTGGGCATCTGTAGATATTGTTTATCTATTATATCGACATATCTCTTGATGAAATAACGTGAATTAGCCTATATCTATAATATCTCAATCCCATTTATAATGTGTATTTATAATGTAACAACTATGTATTTTTGTATATTTGTTTTTCTCCTATTTACTAACTCTTCATTCTAAAAAGAACATTATTTTGTGTATTTGGTGTAATGAAATGTGTTTATGCGGCTTAAGGTTCAAAAAACACATTTTCCACATACTGTACATTATTGTTCTCCTCTATGCCCCGCCTTTCTGAAACGCGTCGATTTTTACAAAGCTCATCGGTCTGAAAAGCGAGGTGTGCTCTGATTGGCCAGCTATCCAGTGAGTTGTGATTGGCCGAATACCTCAAGCGTGTGACGGAAATGTTACGCCCCTTACCATACTGTGATGCCCTGTCCGGCCGGTGCTACGAGACAAAAACAATAAAACCCATTACAAACGAGGCATTTGTTGCATCCAGTGCGGACATAATTATGGATTATAATGACTTATACTGTATTTTTACGCGTTGCGTTGCATCGCGCCGCGTAAACATAAAACCATGTCTGCATTTGTTATCGGAGAAATGACGAACAACA